GAATGGGAGTGCACAGGGTGCGTGGGGGTGCATCAGGTTTAAGAAGGTTGAATGAGAGTGCACAGGTTGCGTGAGGGTGCATCAGGTTTAAGAAGGTTGAATGAGAGTGCACAGGTTGCATGGGGGTGCATCAGGTTTAACAAGGTTGAATGAGAGTGCACAGGGTGCATGGGGGTGAATCAGGTTTAAAAACGTTGAATGAGAGTGCACAGGGTGCATGGGGGTGAATCATGTTTAAGAAGGTTGAATGAGAGTGCACAGGGTGCATGGGGGTGAATCAGGTTTAAGAGGGTTGAATGAGAGTGCATCAGGTTTAAGAGGGTTGAATAAGAGTGCACAGGGTGCATCAGGTTTAAGAAGGTTGAATGAGAGTGGGCAGGGTGCATGGGAGTGAACAGGGTGCATAGGGTGCATGGGGGTGCACAGGGTGCGTGAGGGTGCATCAGGTTCGGGGAGGTTGAATGAGAGTGCACAGGGTGCATGGGGGTGCATGGGGTTGCACAGGGTGTGTGAGGGTGCATCAGGTTCGGGGAGGTTGAATGAGAGTGGCGCAGGGTGCATGGGGGTGCACAGGGTGCGTGGGAGTGCACAGGTTGCATGAGAGTGCGCAGGGTGCGTAAAAGTGAGCAGGGGTGTGTGGGAGAGCCTAAGGTTGAGGTAGAAAGAATGAGAGTGCAAAGGGGTAACGTTATATGTAGAATGAATTACTTATGATACTTGGGGTACACAAGTTGTAGTAATGTGTGCATGTGTTTGCATGTGTGCATAAATTTTGCATATATTAATAAATTATATTTGCATATATGGGAAAATACCATGCTCCCGTTACCCAATAATGGTACATGTGAGCGGTACCGGGAGCATGGTATGTCCCATATATGCAAATGAGCTAGGCCCAGAGCGGCGCGTTCGAACTAAATGTTCCATTGTGAAACAGGCGTGGTCTGAATTTGGACCTAGCATGATGTGTTAAGTTACGTATACCAGATACTTCTTTAATATTGACGATGGTCTGAATTTGGACCTAGCGTGATGTGTAAAGGTTCTTATACCATAGAGTTCTTAAATATTGACGATGGTCTTAATTTGAACCTAGCTTGGTTTGTAAAATGTACTTATAATCACAGATTTCTTTAATATTGACGATGGTCTTAATTTGGACCTAGCGTGATGTGTGAAGATACGTATACCAGAAAGTTCTTAAATATTGACGATGGTCTGAATTTGGACCTAGCTTGGTTTGTAAAATGTACTTATAATCACAGATTTCTTAAATATTGACGATGGTCTGAATTTGGACCTAGCTTGATGTGTGAAGGTACTTACATCAGAGAGTTCTTAAATATTGACAATGGTCTGAAATTGGACCTAGCGTGATGTGTGAAGGTACTTATACCAGATAATTCTTAAATATTATATTAACGATGGTCTGAATTTGGACCTAGCATGACGTGTGGTGGTACTTAAACAAGAGAGTTCTTAAAAGATTGACCATGGAATCTGATCCGTGCTTGTAATATTGAGGTCTTACATCTAGACTTTCCGGGTGGGGAAAGATTCTATCCGAGCTCTTAAATTGCCTACTGACTTGAAGCCAGTTTAACGTGTGTAAAATGTTTCTAGCAGGAACGGTTAACAGTTTTGTTGGCTTTTTTGTTAAGTTGTAATTTATTAAATATTGATTTTCCCAGGATATACTTCAAAAGAACTTCATACGGAAATAGCATTTAGATTTTGTGCCACGTCAAAGAATAAAATTGAACTATGACCACAAGTAAAACAAGACATCCTTCGCAGACTCCAAATCCAATGTGATTGGTTGAAAAAAAAACAAGGCGGACCAACCTGAAAACAAGATTCCTACAATTTAAAATTTTTAGATCATAAGTCTTTTTAGACAAAAAATTTGAGTCAACAAACATGATTTTTTTTATTTATTTTGAATGAAAACGACACATTTCACATGTTTACCCAGCAAAAGCTGATAAACGTAGGTCTACATGATATTTCAACCAACATGACGTTGTCGATATTTTTACATCCTATTTAACTAAAGAGTTTGTGGAGTGAACATGCTTATGGGGTGAAAAACCTTAAAATGGCAACAGTTGCCATCATACGCTAGCAGGTATTTTTTTTTAGTCTGCTTTATCTCTGATTGCCTAAAACCCGATAATATGACAAATATGACACATATTTGCCAAGTTTCGATATATTGAAAATTGATGCACGTGATGATGTCACCCATAAAGTTTACTTACTGTGGCCTAATAGATGTCAAACGTAGTCAACAAATGTGTAAGTGTACAAGTTAAATGCTGGATAAAGAGTTTTGTAACATGATTCATTCTGCAAAGAAGTATTTGGGTGCTACATCTGGACTCTCTGGGCATGTAAAGATCTTATATGATGATTTCTAAAAGATAAATGATTGTCTACGGATCGGAAGCTAGCTTGGCGTGTGCAAAACATTTTGACAATACGAGGAGGTTAGTAGACTCTTTATGGTTATGATACCGTTATCATGAACAATCGATAATTTTACTCATTTATAGTAGATTAATAAGCACAAGAACCACATACATTGTATACGTCCAATAAATCACCAGTCACAGTATAAATATGCTATCGCACTTTTTGTATTGTTTGTTTTATTTATAAGCTCATAACATATGAAAATAATAAAATGGAAGACAGACAGTCTGCAAGAAGGGTGGGAAGCCTAGTAGGCTTATACTGAATCAACCTTCTTAATACATGATACTACAAACTATGATTGAAAAGAAATTATCGAAAGCAAAGATACTGTAGACTGTTAGACGTATGTGTTTTTTACGTATACAATTACGTTTTTACATAAACAATGCACAACCTTTACTGTGGTCATTACGTTTTTGATTGCTATCCTTTATGTGATTGTTATCTCCCAAGTGACCCAATGCTAAAGTGAGGGTGATCAATTCAAAACGTTTTGTATGTGCTCTATCTACAAAAGTTAACAAAAGGGAGAAAAACATGTTTAATTCAGATATTAAAAATGAAGATCAGTGTACAAAATATTTTTTCAGGCAGGCTGTACCCAATGTAGGGATCTGCGCGGGGTGCAGAATTCTTGGGAAATTACATGATCCCTAGAAAACAACTTCTGTTATCTACATAGTTATTGTCATCCTCTATGTCACAATATGAAATGTTAATTGTCCAGGACAAATTATGCTTGAATAGTGAGAGGTAGTCCGGAATTACAGTATCTGTCAGGAATTATGATAAATTATAAGATACAAAAAGCTGATGTGCTGCAGTACCAAGGTCAGCCACAAGAAGGTCCATATTTGACCTTTGTCTTCCTAAGAGTTTCCAACATAACAAATGCCATTGCAGTCAATAAAGGCGTTCTGAAGTGTCACTGTTTTGGTTGTATCTTCTAAAATTTGTATCATGTTCTAATACTGGTTCACACGTTATACTTGGTTTAAATCCTGTTTAGTTTCATATGAAGTTGTTTTTAATTGTAATTAATACAACATCATGTAGCAGGTGTTACAATTCAAAAAATTACTACCCCATGACAGAATTATATACCTCGAACCAGTTTGTTTTGTATCTTCAGTTCAGTTCATAAAAGTTTTATCATATTCTTATACTGGTTTTCGTGTTATATATGCCATCATGTAGATATTGTGATCAGATATTGAATAAAACATTTTAAAAATAACAATGTTCTGTTACAGAGGTGTGAATTATTTAATTTATTCAACAAACTCTTGGCCTTTGGCGCTTACTCAAAGTCACATTGCAGGCCAGTTCCCTTCAGCGTCTCATACACAAGTAGTTTTTGTTTGTTAAACATCAATTCATCTTTCTGTTAACATTATAGATATTATTTTCTCAACAGCTTAACAGGATTGAGATGTTGGCATTCCAGAAAGAAATTAACAGATCTTTATTTTATGCCATTTTAAAATCAATGTGATTGTGTTTCTTTATCTTTATGCAAGAGTTTAAATAGTGTTAATAGTACAGAAAACATACATTTTACTTTCCGTAGTATAGTTAGAGTTCAAGACCTCCTGCCAAATTATGTTAATATAATGGCTGACTAGTTAAAGATTATTTCCTCTGATAATGCAAAAACTGGTAGGTGTCTCTTAGGCTGGATAAGCCGAGTAATCTCGTTTCCCGTCGGCTGAACAGACAATCACGTGACCCCTACCCTGATACTAATTATTCCGCCCCTTTACCCTCTGACCCTTCCTCCCTAACCCTCGTAAGGGTCATTCGTGGCTCAACCTTTCTCTGTACGGTCACATTTGTTTGGCTCCCGATCACATTTGTCCCAAGCGTGTGTAGTTACATTTTCCCCTTTGGCTTCTTCCGCTGGTCACTGGATTACTTCACCCTGTACTTCTGCTCGTGTGGATTCCAGTCTCTCTGACTGTTTCTTGTGTAGACATTCGTGTTCCACGTAAGTTGAATATTCCGCCATGGATCTTGACCTCTACACCAGAACTACATCCCGTATGTGCGCCCAGCGGCTCTACTGATTTCTGCGCGCCCCTGTGCTACAGTTTCGTCGCGTTTCTTCACATCGGTCGTCTGTTCCACGGATTTTGCGCCAAGTCCCCATCGCCTCGGCAGACCGGACCACCTCGAGCTCGGATTCCACTGGTTACCCCCGCCCGCCTGACGATGGAAGTTCTGTAGCAGGTTTTCCCCACTCCTTTCCATGTTCCCCCCGTTGTTTGTATTTTGTTGTGTTCTCGTTAAATGTACTACCGTAACCGGTTTTATAATACTCTGCTGCTTATTTTTACCACAGGAGATTGTTGCATGCCGGACGTTCATAGATCTCCTTGCGTGTGGTCCTGTGCACTACTCTAGTAACGCTTCTAATTTCCTTGCTTTTTCCTAGTTTGCGCTCTGGCTATTTACAGATTCCTTCAACAGAGACGTTCCCACCACGAGGTGTCACTCGAGGACAGCGCACTTCCTCACCTCCTGCTGTGTTAATGACAGCCAGGCTATACCCTCTTCCTGCCTGTTACAGTTGACCGCCTAGCCTTTTCTCTTCCAGACCACCCACTCGTGGGAACATTGTGATGTTACGAACGTTCATTCCCTTCCACCCCTAACCCTCTAGCCTGGAATCCATCCGTGAACGCCGTGTCTCCGCTCCGTCCCTCCGCTCTGCCTTCAGGATTCCAGGCTACATCCTCGTGATTAACCATAAAATCTTCCTGACTTTCTTCCCGTATAGTACCCATCCTTGATCGGTTACAGACCTCCTGACGTACTGTGACACATGGACTATCGATAACCTTTTTAGTTCGGCAATCTACTAGTAGCAACTCGTCCAGTTTACCAACAGACCTTGCTCGTACATTCCAGATAGTTTACCTTGGTCCTTCTGGACCGACGGAGTGGAAGTAGTGTTTGTTTTGTTTTTGTTTTGATAGACTGGTTGGCTAGGTCAGTTATTAATGTGCTAACTACCCTACTCCCACGTGATTCACAGTTTTCTACACTCACTCTTCCAGCATTTGTTGTCTGATGGGCTGTCCTGACTGTTTGATTGGTTTCTCACTACATGTCTGGTGCGTCCACCTTGTATCTGATCCTTACCTCGGACCCTACCTCTCATGCCCTCACCTCGCCTTGTTTTTCCTTCCCATCCACCCCCGACCGACCCCCGACCCCGTTTTCCCCCTACCCTAGATCTTGACATGTGCATATGACTCATACACCCCCCTTCATACGCATATGCTAGTACACGTAGTAGTAGCAAGTCGTTCTTGTGTTTGTACACTCTGCTTTGTTTTTTGCATTGAACGCATTGATCTCATCGTTTTTTTTTTTTCGATTTCGTAGACGCAGTTGTGCCGAATTACTTCACGTACGGTATTAATTATGTTTCTCCCTTTTACGACTAGTGTGCTGCACACGGGAGGAACTAAGCTAAGTCTAATTATGCTTCCCCCTTTTGCGAATAGTACATGGTCACATGATGTCCTTCCGGTCGCCGACAAGACAGTTGTTCGATCATCGATGTTGCCGCCTTACCAACAGCTGTTTACACATTACAGCTCTCTCTTATGATCTACCACAACCGGTCTGAAGCTGTTTTGACGACCTGATTGCCTCCTTATTCGCAGATTCCAGTCTGGCATGGCATGTTCCTGGGAACGTCCTCCTCCTCAGTCCCTACCCCTCCTTGTTCTATCCCCCCACCCCATCCTTCCTCCCCCATTTTGCCTTTACCCCCCTACCCCATGTCCTGACAGGTTAGTAGTAACGTTATGTGCGTGACGTTGAATTGCGATGTGCTCCCGTGTGCCCCGTGTGCCTTTGAGATGTGATCCCCGTGTGCCCCGTGTGCTCCGTGAATGTAGTCCCCCCTGTGGACACATTGTTGATACATGGGAAGTTCAACCCCCCGTGCGGGTGAACGTAAGTCCCATCTAAGTTCAACCCCCCGTGCGGGTGAACGTAAGTCCCATCTAAGTTCAACCCCCCGTGCGGGTGAACTTGAGTTCACTAGAGTCCCGTGAACGTCAGGTTTCTCCCGAAGTCGAACGTGAAGTTCTACCGGTTCCCCCGTGTGGATGAAGGAGCATTTCCACCAGTAGTTGCACCCAAGTGTGGGTGAACGTAAGTTCCACCACGAAGTTCCTTCCGCCGCGCGGACGAACGTGAAGTTCTATCGGACGTTCCTTCCTCTACACGCGTTGACACCTTGTCGAGGTAGGACTATTAAAGGGACCCCAGCGTGGATCACTGCATGCGGGACGCTGGACTTTACCCCGTCGAGTTAATGACGAACCAGCATGACCGGACTGCTTCGTAGTACTGTATGTTTCATCGTGACCTTGATTCAGCGAAGCGTAACCTGCAGTGGCAGCCATGTGTGTGGACCTGGGACTGATGCTGTGCGGTTCATCGG